GGGGCAGGGGGATGTTTCGGGGAGCTGGGGGGAGGGGGGGGGGTGTACTCCCCCTCTTCCCACCGTGTGCTTTCACCCCAACACCTTTAACACACTGATCCGGGTCTGATCCCACAGTCACTGCTGAAGCTCATGAAAAAAAAGAGAGATTTCCTTGGAGAACAGAAACCGCTTGAGGTGCTATAGTCCGCAAATTGTTGTTTTTTTTCCTATTGTAGTTGTCAGTCCCGTCTTATCAAAAAGCACGAGACACAGTGACTCTGCAGTATCAGGACTGCAGAAAGGAGTTTCTAGGTTTTCGTGTACATTGCAAGTTTGGATGTTTGAAAGTGGTTTTTCCATTCTTGAGTCAGTTAAGTAAAATTCAGTACATACTGGTACATATTTGAAGTAATGTACCCCCCACGCCAGAGATGGTCAAACATTCACTATTCCACCCTCCTCTTTTGCAGGTCTTCAGTGTAACTGCCTGCTTGATCGCTTGATTAGCTGTTAATTAATTCAGTTCCATAATCTGTATTGTAATGGATTGAAAGGTCTGGTATTTGACTAAGCCCCTTAATATCCCTGCCCTGAAGGTTTTGGGATTTTCTTAAGCTTTTGCAAAATTAATTATAAGGCTGTCCAAACAATGCATGCACAACTGTGCCCATTTTAGCCTTTTAATATGGCACAGAAGAAGACCCCCGTACCATTAGCCACGATCCAGAGCCAATCCAGGAGAAGGGACTGGAGGGAGGGAAGGGATGGGGGTTGGGGGAGAGGGGGCGGTGCAGTTCTGCTTGTTCTCCGAGGTGTTTATAAACAGCCCCATCTTAAGTGTGGTCTCTGGAAAAATGGATAACTGCAGTAACATTTAACACCACTCAAAGAATGTGGAGAACGCCAGCGAGGAATCCTCAGTCCTTGCATTCCTCAGCAACCGCAAACACAGAATCCCATACAGAAGATAAACTCTGCAGCCTTCAGCATGTAAACAGTGCTGGAATCTCAAGCCCAATCCAAAAAGCAAGGTAGGGGCTCTGGTAACGGGCGCACATGCTGCTACAACTGCGGAATCAAATAATTCCAATGAAACCACTACCTTTTCAGCACAGGAAAAATCCCACCCGCCTGTCTATCTCATCTATTTATCTAACCATTCAGCCTTCCATAAATCCATCCCTCCATCCTTCTCTAAGAAACCACACCTTTGAAAAAGCATCTCGTGGTTTCAGTTGCTGTTTTGTTGCCAGAGGAATGCAGTCGACAAGTCTTTCAATACAGCAGGTAACTTTAGAGTTGTACACTTTTGTGCAATCCTCATTCTTTTTACGTAAGAGGCTGGAAATGAGAAGGAAATGGTGATGCAGCAAAATGCCACTGTTCTCTTCAGTGGTTGCTACCTGCTGTTCACTGGTGTGGGTGGTCTGTGCTTGATCTCCAGACAGGCAGCGGTCAGCAAGAGACATTAACAGCTTCCCATGGATACAGCACCTATGGAACCCACAGCTAAAACGCGTCAGTAGGCCAGAACAAACGAATGCCTAAATGCATAAATCAAGAAAGAAAATCTTACAATAGCGGACTAATTCCAGGTCCTAGGAATTACAGGAGAACCAAAATTGTTCACTTTGAGCTTCTTGAAAGTATCACTCGCAGGATGGACAGAGTGAATAGTCTGGGGTTTCGCTCAGGGGCGGGCTAAAACTAAAACATCAGTTGTGACATTTGAATTCACTAGGGTATTTATTTTGACCGAGAGGCCTGATTCATGCAGTACTCATGTACTCAGCCTGAGTGGGCTGACACTCACACAGGGGTTCCTACCATCTAATAAAGGAGTGGCAGCAGTACCAACACTCCTGCGCTGGGAAAGTATTGCGCAGCACAAAACCACAGTTTCACCCTGCCTTTACTGGGTGTAATTTATGCTGTGAAAGCACCATGATGACGGGGTACACCTCCCAGAAAAATGTAGCCTGTCTTCAGGGCCACAAATCACTGTCCGGAGCAAGTCCAGAGTGAAAACAAATCTCCGCTGCACTGCTGACACCACATCAAGTCTTAGTTACAGCCCTGGTACTGGAGAATCGCAGGCTTTGAGGTAATATAGGAAATTTCAAATCTCCAGCAGCTCATGATCGGGAGTCAGGTTGAAACAAGAGCCAAGGCGCACAGGAGGAAATTAAGAATTAGGACATTCATCCACTGCAGAGAAAGAGTTTAGAGTAATTTGAGTTTAGAGCTAAATTCAGCTAATGATGTCTGTAATTAATTCACTTAAAAACTGCTGACTTTTAATTTTTGTATGCATTGGTATACTATCATACCACTTGACTGTATTCACGTGAGCCCACAAGCCGTCTTAATTATGTCTCTCAACGATCACCAGAAGAGCTGGGAACATCTATTCAATAGGTGACATTGCGCGAAGATTTAACTTCAGAATTAAGACCTCAGGCTCTGCAGCTCTCCTAATCTGAGTTGTAGACGCACGCCTTGCAATCCCCTTCACTAACCTCAAAAAATAGGACATATTAAAAAGGTAAGGACATGTGCAGAAAGCACGCCGAAATTTCATCAGCCTGACGGTGTATTAACAGCATATATATTCACTGAAAACAACGTGGTCAATTCATTGAATTGACAGTGTGGCATTTTTGGTTGTTCATATTAAATAAGATTTAATTTCCTTATCAAAGTCACCAGTATCATTATTATTATTTTTGTTTTTTAAGTGTTGTTAATAGCATAATGGCGTTTCACGTGGGGAGAAGTTCTGGAAGACTATCGCTGACAGTTCAGTAATGCATAAGCCCCGACTGCTCTCAAAGAGACAGGGAGAGGGAGGGCGAGTGAGAGAGGAACAGAGGGAGGGAGACGTCGAGGGGAGGAGATTCATTCAGGCTACAAGTTGAGAGGTAGTGAGAAGCAATTAGTGCCATGCATGTAACTGCACTGAGGAAATACTGATCGTCAAGACAAGTAAGCCAAGGAAGACCCTGCGCTTCGAGCATTAAGAGTACTTAAGGTGTGGATCCTGCCCAACGCAACGGTTCCATTTTGTATTGAAAGGACTGTGTGTTTGCATCCTTTGGATGAGCAATGATAGACCGGATTTTTTTTTTTAGTATTTTAGTACTTCATTAGCGTAGCTAATTATGTTTGATTAATATTTTGGTTTACTAAAATTGATTGGCTTTGGGGAATGCCACACAAGGACGAGCTGTGCTGGTTTCTGCACGACCTATTATTCTGACTTTCCTGTAAGGTTACTGCAGCTATTTTTGAAGTTGCCAAAATTGTAATTTCGTGTCCTCCTGTGCAAACGGACGTCTACAACACGACACTGTTGCTAAAGCACACGTGTAGCGCTTGTGGAAGTTCTCTTTTCCTTCCAGTCTGAACGTCTCCAGGTTAACTCTGCCTGTTCAGAGGGACGTGACGATGCGCTCATTCCCTTACCGCAGCTTCACTGAGGAGGGATCCAGTAAAAACTGACTTACTGTAGCTTCTGTGCCAGTTTTTTTTTCCTCTCATTTCTTCTATTCATTTGTACGCCTGTTCCTTGCGTTATTGTATGTCAGTCTTGCGTTTCTGGAGGTGGATTTCATGCGGATCGATCGAATTCAGCGCTGGAAAATTGGATGAGAAACTCGAAATGAAAAATTTTACCCGCATCATCCAGATAATAACTGTTCTCCTCATTCAGTTATCACCTGCTCAGGTAAGCTGGTATTTTAAGATTCTTATTAATTTTGCCGTGATTTGGCCGCTGATACAGGTTGTGTATTAACTATTCCCATAGTACGTACTCTCTCTTTCAATGTCTGTCCAGAAGCATTTCTTTCTGGCGTGGAAAATGATAGCTGGAGCTAGTGACAGACCGCTTCCAGACCGGGTTAACTCGTGACTGCAGGGAGAAGCAACTTTAAAATTACTGGGTCTAGCACTGCGTGGAATAAGCAATTATTGTTTAAAATCGCACCAAATCCCGAAGTTACAGTATATGAAGAAAATCCCCCACAGGTAATTGACTCCAAATATTCTTGCTGGTGCAGTAAACGGTGGTGGCATCGACGTTGGTGAAGGTGGCGGTACGTTTAATAACGTACCGGTGATATACTTAGAGATAATTTAAAGTTCCCTCCTGGTTCATACCTCATACTCCGCAGAATCTCTGAGGTAGACCGTTGCTATTTGTAAAGAGTTCTGCTCCTTACAGTCTCATATTGAGCTTGTGCCAGGAGGTTGAGTCATCAAGACGAACGTGACTTATGGCATAGCGCTCATTTCCATTGTAGCCAGCATTTCTTTCTTTTTAGACGTACTGTATACTGTATCTCACCCGTGATTCGCTGTTGCGCTTCGACCCTAACCGCTCCCCCACCCACCCCATTAACCCACGCAGGCATACTGTACGCACCACTCCCTGTTTTAAGAAAGGAAGCTACAGCCTTGTATTAAATATTTTACATTGACAGCTGCCGCTTTTAAGTTTTATAAGGACTGCTACTGTAAGTTACAGTTTTACTTTGGTCTTCAGTGCAGTCTGTGGAGTGAATGAGGTAACTGCGGTAGGCTCTGGCTGTGTTTATACTGAGTCAAAGGTCTCAGGGAAACCCTAGCTAGGATTCCTGCACAATATGGCTGCCTGGCTGATGTTTCTTAAGTTTTCCTGTGACGGTCTGAAAATAATATTCTTCACCAAGACCATGGAGAAAAAAAAAAGAGAGAAAGTCACCTTTTCTGTGCGGTTGCACCGAGTGGATTTAGTTCTGACGGGGAAAAAAATGAAAGGTGGTGTTTGTTTGTTTGTAATTTGGGAACTGGACACTTCCCAAACAAAAACACCAAACTCTTTGAATTGTAACCCAATCGATGTTTCATGCGCACTTTCCTAACCTGGGACGTGCTACAGAGCCACGCACTGTGTAATGTTACCTCAGTGGCAGCTTTTGTGGCTGTGGAGGAGCCCCAATCAATGGGGGAGACGCCAGCCATTGAAAGTGGCCTCAGGAGGAACGGGCCCACGACACCCCTCCCACCTTCCATGCGCCGCGAGCCACACAAAAGTAACAGTGTTAATTGTGTAGGCTGAAAGGCAAAGGAGCTCTGCTGGGTTATTCAGCTCCAAAGGCTGTGGAAGGGGAGCGGGGAATGGGAGTTAAATTCGCGTCTGAGTGAGTGAGTGAGTGAGTGAGTGAGTGAGTGAGTCCTCATCGAGGCACCCTTCTGTCGGAATTCCTGGGATCCCCACCCTGGCGCGACAGAGCTGTAACCTTCCTGGACAGGCTGGTGTCTCTGGCCGGGTTTCTGGGTCATTGTGATCTCATCGGGAGTGGGGAGCTGCTTCTGTAGCTATATCCAACCTCAGGGGTATTGACCGTGGGAGAGGAGGACAAAGCAGTCCTCTGTGCCCGGGCTCCAACGCTGTCAGTGTGAAGCCTTACCTTACCTTCTGCGCGTCTCCCAGGCAGGGGGAGTGACTCCCCTCATTCACGTCTGGTGCCACCCAGCAATGACACTTGCAAGGAAGTGCCACCAGCCCTGGCATCGAGGCATACCCCGTCTGTTAGACTAAAGACCCATTCAGCTATATTTCTCGCTGGGCAAACAAGCAGCTACACACTAGCTGCGTGAGTATCTCATGTATAATGCAAGTCACAGCCTCGGAGCCTATTCAGTTTTATTGTCTCCCAGTTCATAGACGGACATTCCACCAATTTGAGTAAAAGACTGCCGCAGCCTGCGAGCTAGCAGGCGTATCTTGAATGCAGAGCATGCCATGCCCAGATCTAACCCTTTCGAAGCATTCGGCACGTCCCAGTGTGGTTTTTGTCAAGGGCCTTGATCACAGAGTGTTTGGTCCTGTTACCTTGCCTGAGTTGTGCCTCATTGTCAAACAGTTCATAATTTTTCCACCGAGACATCATTACAGTCTGCTGGATTAGTTACTAATTTATGTCTATATTCTTCGATGCATTACATAAATGCTCTTTTAGAGGAGGGTGGGCAGTTTAATTCAGAGTGTTGATTAGCTGATGGAAGGCTAGATGTTAAATAGTTTTTTTCCCATTATAGTTATCGGAGTTAAAGTGCTGCTTTGTGTTTTCTAATGGTGGGAAATATGTGATATTTTCATGCAACAATAGCTCACGTCATTGCTCTGCAGAAAGAAACTGTGTGATTGACTCCACTCAGGCAGTCCACCCCAGATTAGCGCACTTCAGATTGCCACAGCATTTACAAGTTCACTTGAAGCCCCCTGCCCCCTCCTCCCTCTGAGCAGAAGAAGGCTCCCTATTGGAATAACAGCTGCTGATGCTTGCAGAGGACAGGGCTGGAACATCTGTGGCATCCCACAATGTCTGAGTTAAAGATTGTGATGACGGTTGCGGCTTGCTAAATGCTGTCACACTCTCTGTCAGGGGGGTTTGAGAGAGCGCAGAGGTGCTCAGGCCTGCTTTGAAAGAAAGCCGCCTGTGGTACAGAATGAAGGGAGCGTCAGAGACTTGTTACCATCTGCCTCTTTGATAACCAATCCAATGAACAGCTGTTCCTACTTCCTAAGTCTCCAAACCTTAGTCAGTTCCCACTCCAGCAGCCTGCTGAATCTATGTACCTCCAGGGGAACAGACCGAAAAATAACAGCAATAGCAGTAATGCCATGCAAAATCATATGGGCTTTCGGAGCAAGAATTTGTTCTTTTCTTCATCAGGCAATCAGCTTGACAAGGGCGTCTTATTAATATTTGACTTCAAAGTCTTAAGCCAAATTAAAAATGTGGGTAATTAGTGTGTTAAGTATAAATATGTAGGGAAGTGATCACTAGCCTCATGTAAGGCAGGAGACAGGGGGATGGGGGAGTGGGGTTTCTGCTGACCAGCAGGAAAGTCTTTCTTCAGGGAATGCAAACAAATGAAAAGGCAAACAGTCAGGAGACGTTGGCGCATCAGTTTATGAATGTCTGTGCATGTCTTTTCCCACATGCTTGTAATGAATAATGAAAGATCACAGTCTATTACTTTGAAATCTGTTTCTTTGAATCGTAAATTAAAACTGCACTTCGGATGATGAAAACGGGTCTTGAAAAGAAAGGCCTTAGCTGCCTCTGCTACTGGTATACACACGGCTGCTAGTGGTGGAGGATGGGATCTGGTTTCACGCTTGAAAGGTTGTGGGTTCAAAGCCCTGTTGGGGTGCTGCTTGTGCAAGCTACTTCACTCAGATTGCTTAATAAAATGCCCAGGTGTATTAATGCGTATGAATATAAATTGCTTTGGACAAAAGCAAAAACCAAATCAATGAAAAAACTGATGCACCTAGTGTATCATTGTTAAACAGGAAGCCTAATAATACTTCTAATGAGCTGGGGAAACATGAGTTATACTGTACCTGCGGCTCAGTAGTATTGCACTGACATGGTGGATGTGCAGGCTGGAGCGAAGGCCTCCTGCTGCAGGGTTATGGTTGTAAATTATGATGTTCCGGGGCAGCTCCTGTCATATATCATTTCTTTACATTTCTCAGAACGTTCCCTCATGGGGCTAGTGCTGTGTCCCAGCATGGCCACCTGTGGCCGCTCTTGGCCTGACATCCTCCTGTAAACTGTGTTTCTATTCGCATGTTATTTCTTCAAGGGACAGCTTGCAGCAGATAGATTGATGGCAAGCCATGTCTACCCAGACGTCACTGGATCAGACAGTCTTTAGTGGGAGTGCGTGACTCTAATTCAGTGCAGTAGGCACGCAAAGATCAGCAAAAAGCACTTGCATGCAGGAGAACCGGTGCTTTAAAGTGCATTATTATTACTACTAGTAGTAGTGTCACACCATGTATGAATTTTAAGTTAAATTTAAATACTTTCCTTTCACTTGGAAAGACATACAGTAAGCAGTACATCATCAGTGATTCTTTTTGTCCTTTTTATTAATGGAGAGGATGTATGCAGCTCTGTACTCGCTCTCCCCAGCTCAGCATTAATTAGAAGTGCTGACTCAAAACCGCGAGGGCACGAAGCTGCCCTTCTCTCACCTTCACTGCTCATCAGGGTGAACAGTGAGACTTGGCACAAGAGCGATCTTTCATTCCTCACCCCATAAAGGCGGCCTAGTTAAAACAAACCCTGATGAAAGAGTGGGAGTGGGTCCAAATTGCTGTGTGCGCGTTCCGAGAGCCTGTCTGAAGGCTCTAATGTACTGTAGGTCACGTTGTTTTAACAGCAATGACAAATACCCTGTCATACCATACACCAGAACAGATCGTACAATTTCTCTGAACGTAACAAATGCTTCTTAATGGTGGCTGCTGTGTCCTTTAGAAGTAACAGTGCTAGACTATGTAGAAAGGGCACTTTAGTTCATACTGAGGCCAGTGAGAGAATACATGTTTCATCTGCAGTAAACTCAGAACTAGTACACTATCACTATATTGACCTGCTATGTGGTTCACTTCTTGTGTTGCAGCTTAAAGTTTATGCGAGTACATTCTCTCGCCTGGGTTTACACCAGTTCGAGCCTAAATGACCTAAAGTAGAACATTCGTTTTATTCCAGTCAGTTCTCTGGGGTCGCGCTCTTAAGGGGAACTACAAAGCAGGAAGTGTAAACGATCACATTGGATCCACTGTTATCCCTGCACACAGATGACCACAAAAGCTGGCGTACTTGGAAAGCCTGCCTCTTTTGTAACTGTTCTTTCTGTTCGGTGAAACCAGCTGTATTT